AGGAGACACGTGATTTCATTTCAGTGGGCTTGCTCCCGGCCATGCCAACTAACGGTTGTGTCTGACGTACCCACCGACCGTTGGCTGTAGGTGTCAGAGGTGACCTGGGAAGAGGAAGACGACCGAGTCAACCAATCGATGACGGTAGGGGTTGTCGGTGGAGACACGACCGCTGGATGACACCGGAGCACTGGCCTCTGGCTGCGACTAGTGCTGCCTCGACCCCTTCCTCTGCTGCCACGTCTGCTCGCTCCTGAAACATTGCCTCCTCTGCCACTCCTCTGCGTGTTGTCTGACATACTCTTTAATTCAATAAGCACCCCAAAAATAAAACCGGATTTAACTCTTTGAATAGTGGTTGTGAAGCAGAAAGTCAGTTTATTGTACACAATCGGTCAATTGCAGCTTGCCGTTGGCTGGCAACTGTACGTTTAGGTCACTGGAATGCACTAATCACCAAAAAAATATTACCGCCAGCCGGCGTGTAAATGGATCTAACTCTTTGAACGTACAATAGTGGTTGTGAAGCAGAAATCAGTTTATTTAGCACAATCGGTCAATTGCAGCTTGCCGTTGGCTGGAAACTGTACGTTTATGTCACTGGAATGCACTAATCACCCAAAAAATATTACCGCCACCCGGCGTGTATATGGATTTAACTCTTTGAACGTACAATAGTGGTTGTGAAGCAGAAAGTCAGTTTATTTAGCACAATTGGTCAATTGCAGCTTGCCGTTGGCTGGAAACTGTACGTTTATGTCACTGGAATGCACTAATCACCCAAAAAAAATATTACCGCCACCCGGCGTGTAAATGGATTTAACTCTTTGAACGTACAATAGTGGTTGTGAAGCAGAAAGTCAGTTTATTTAGCACAATCGGTCAATTGCAGCTTGCCGTTGGCTGGAAACTGTACGTTTATGTCACTGGAATGCACTAATCACCCAAAAAATATTACCGCCACCCGGCGTGTAAATGGATTTAACTCTTTGAACGTACAATAGTGGTTGTGAAGCAGAAAGTCAGTTTATTTAGCACAATCGGTCAATTGCAGCTTGCCGTTGGCTGGAAACTGTACATTTATGTCACTGGAATGCACTAATCACCCAAAAAATATTACCGCCACCCGGCGTGTAAATGGATCTAACTCTTTGAACGTACAATAGTGGTTGTGAAGCAGAAAGTCAGTTTATTGTACACAATCGGTCAATTGCAGCTTGCCGTTGGCTGGAAACTGTACGTTTCTGTCACTGGAATGCACTAATCACCCAAAAAATATTACCGCCAGCCGGCGTGTAAATGGATTTAACTCTTTGAACGTACAATAGTGGTTGTGAAGCAGAAAGTCAGTTTATTTAGCACAATCGGTCAATTGCAGCTTGCCGTTGGCTGGAAACTGTACGTTTATGTCACTGGAATGCACTAATCACCCAAAAAATATTACCGCCACCCAGCGTGTAAATGGATCTAACTCTTTGAACGTACAATAGTGGTTGTGAAGCAGAAAGTCAGTTTATTTAGCACAATCGGTCAATTGCAGCTTGCCGTTGGCTGGAAACTGTACGTTTGTGTCACTGGAATGCACTAATCACCCAAAAAATATTACCGCCAGCCGGCGTGTAAATGGATTTAACTCTTTGAACGTACAATAGTGGTTGTGAAGCAGAAAGTCAGTTTATTTTGCACAATCGGCAAACTGCAGCACCAACTGTGCACGACAGCCACCCAAAAAAAAAAGGATGTATGTCACTTTAAATTTTCTTTGATAGCTGTGCCCCTAAGTAACGATTCTGTGTCCCTGAGTAATGATTCTGTGTCCCTGAGTAACGATTCTGTGTCCCTGAGTAACCATTCTGTGTCCCTGAGTAACCATTCTGTGTCCCTGAGTAACGATTCTGTGTCCCTGAGTAACGATTCTGTGTCCCTGAGTAACGATTCTGTGGCCCTAAAGGTCTCTGTGGCCCTAACTCTGTCCCTTAATACACACAGGTCTGTCTCTCTTGAATGACCGGAGGCTAATGGAGAATTCTAAGATGGCCGCGATTTATAGCTCCACCATTACACAGTGCTGGCTGGCTGCTGATTGGCTAATGCGATCACATGTCATGAATGCATTATGGGTCAGCGCGCCTTGTCTGCGCGCCTTCCCAGAGATCCCGCCCCATCTTCTCTGTCCATTTTCTCCGTCGCCACACATGTCGCCGCCATTTTTGGGAAAATTCGATTCGTGCATCCGAAGTTTGCTAATCTTCGGATTCGTCGCGAATCGAATTTTTCAAATCTTCGGAACGAATTCCACTTCGTCATGTTCGATTCGCTCATCTCTATTTATAACTAAACGAATCTCACATGTCTAGACAGGTTTGATTATAATAAACAAACTGCTCAGCCCCATCATAAACATTAGGAAAGAATTGGCAATTCCAGAGAAGAGCAAGTAAAAATTCAAGAAGCAATGTTTAATTATTATATAATTTTTTTTTCGTTAGGCTATGTACTCTAAATGGGAACATGTAACAAATATAAAGTAGGTGTTATTCCAATTTAACTCCAATAGTGGACTTACACTTTACATAGTTAGTCTGGCTGAAAAAAGACAAAAGTCCATCCAGTTCAACCATTAAAAAAAAAGTTAAAATCTTACACCCACAGTTGGGGGTCTATATATTTCAGTAGCAGTTGTCCTTTCTAGTATCTACATATAGGAGCTTGTGATGCCTATACTGCACTACAATATTGTTACTTTTTCTTCTAGCGCAACACTGTGGTCACCAGAAAAAACTACACCTGACTGTAAAAAGTACTTTCACATGCCTCAGCCAACATGAATGGAAGACTTAAAGTAGATATAAACCTAATCGCTAAAATCTCATATAAGCTTTAGCTTCTTAACCACTTGCCTCCCTGCCGCAGTGTATATACTGCGGCAAGACGGCACCGCTGTGCTAGAGCACATAGAAAAACGGCGTCTAGGAAAACAGGTAGGGGGAGCGCGGTTAACCCCTTCCTTCCCAATGCCATTAGTACAGTGTCAGTGGTTTTTTTTCACTGATCACTGTTTTGGTGTCACTGGGTGTAGGAAATGAATTCAGCATAAAACAGACGTCTGTATTTTCATATCAGTGTCTCCTCTAAAATGACAACTAAAGTCATTGAGCTAGTAACTTTGCGTGTGTATGATGGCTTTGAAAAACAGGTGTTAAAGATGAACCATGGTATATTCATGTCTAAGAGGTCAGCAGGTCATAAGCTTCTTTTAAGAATAGCAAATTGGAATGTAATAAGGTATGCAGTAACAGCAAAGAAAGAATGTCTTTTATAAAGAAAATCATGTCTAATCTATAATATAGTTAGTTGGATAATTATTTCATATAATTAATTTATTAGTTAGGAATAGTGTGTGATAAGTTTAGTATCAATTATTGTTGGTTATATCTATGCATTTATGTGATCACTGTCCTTTCTAAAGATATGTGAAGCTATTGTATATCACGTAACAGTATCATGTATTTCTGTCATCTAAGAGGTTTGAAGATAACGTCACACTAAGAGTTATAAGTATAGAAGATGTACAAATATGGACACCATGTGTTAGTAAATGTAAAGCCCAAACTTTTATTTACATTTTTGACAGAGTAGTGAATGGTTAAAATTATACAGTTGTGCTCAAAAGTTTGAAAACCCTGGCAGAAATTGTGACATTTTTGCATTGATATTGAAAATATGACTGATCATGCCAAAAAACTGCCTTTTATTTAAGGATAGTGAACACATGAAGCCATTTATTATCGCATTGTTTTGGCTCCTTTTTAAATCACTCAAATGGCGCTGATCAAAAGTTTACCTACAATGGAATGTTTGGCCTTGGTACAGACACACAAGGTGACACACACAGGTTAAATCCATCCATTATGCTGAATCCGCAGATCCGAACCATCCTGCGGGGATCATCGGCATGCAGCCTATACGGGGTGACACCGACCCGCTCCTCGAAAAGGTAAGTAGTAACGAAGGCCAACGATTCCCGCAGGATGGATCAGACATGTGGATTTGGAGTCCAATCCATTATGCTCAATCCACAGATCCGATCTATTCTGCGGGGATCGTCGGAGGGGGTGTCACTAAGTGTTATTGCACCAGGTGACACCAACCCTAGGGACACCCCTGAAGATGTACATCATTGTTAGTATACGGTTCCTTGCATGGACCTCAACCAAGATGGCCACTGCTGAACTTCCAGTTAGCGTCTGACGTCACTTGCTGACACGTTTTGTCATTACGACTTTGTCAAAGGATGGCAAATTGATCAAATTTGGATGATGAGCAACGGTTTATAAAAAGGGAAGCTTGCCATGGCAATGAAACACACAGATTGCAAAAACTGACATTGGTTCTAATCCCTCCCAGCTTCCCAATGGAGCAAGTTTACATTAAATTCTCTTCCTATGACACCTTGGCACCAGAACAGAAATTGAAGGTATTTTTTTTGTTAATCAGAATATTAAGCTCTAGTTCTCCAAAAACATGCTGGTAGGTTAATTGGATACTGTCTAAATTGGTCCTAGTATGTGTATGAATGTGAGTTAGGGACCTTAGATTGTACACCCCTTGAGGCTAACCCTGATGTGAATGTACAATAAATATGTAAAGTGCTGCATAAATTGACAGTGCTATATAAGTACCTGAAATAAAGAAATAATAAATAAATAGTACTAAGAATATGTGTTTTAGGTGTGGTGGGAGTGATCTGGGGAAATGAGAAAGATCTTTTGGGAGAGTAGAAGTATCTTCATCATTGAAAATGTTTACATGATAAAATAATTAATATTTGTCTATAATTAGTTTGATAGGAAACATATGCATAGAATTGTCACTGAGTTTTGGCACAGTGAAAATGGATAATCAAATGTCTTACTATGAAGTATAATAATGAAGGACAATTAAAGTGTTACTAAACCCAGGACCCTGCATTCACCATATCGGGTCTCCTCGGACCCTGCATTCACTATATCGGGTCTCCCCGGACCCTGCATTCACTATATCGGGTCTCCCCAGACCCTGCATTCACTATAACTGGTCTCCCCGGACCCTGCATTCACTATATCTGGTCTGCCCGGACCCTGCATTCACTATATCTGTTCTCACCCGGACCCTGCATTCACTATATCTGATCTCCCCGGACCCTGCATTCACTGTATCTGCTCTCCCCGGACCCTGCATTCACTATACCTGGTCTCCCCGGACCCTGCATTCACTATATTATTATATTTATTATTATTATACAGTATTTATATAAAGCACCAATAGTTCGCTCAGCGGTGTACATTACAAAGGGGGACAGAACATGTGACAGAACAATACCAATACAATGCAAAACATGAGGGGATTGAGGGCCCTGCTCTTTCGAGCTTACAATCTAGGAGGGAGGGGATAGGGGCACAGGATGAGATAGCTGTGGGGGATGGAGTGGCAGGAAGAGTGGAAGAGGTCGGCAGGTTAGCAGGGGGTGGGGTAGGCTTCCCTGAAGAGATGGGTTTTCAGGATGCGCCTAAAGGAGAGGAGAGTAGGTGATAATCTGATGGGTTGGGGCAGGGAGTTCCAGAGGATGGGTGACACCCTGGAGAAGTCCTGGAGGCGGGCATGGGAGGAGGAGACTAGGGAACTAGAGAGAAGGAGGTCTTGTGAGGAGCGGAGTGTGTGTGTGGGTGGTACTTGGATATTAGGTCAGTGATGTAGTTCGGGGCAGTATGGTGGACAGCTTTGTACGTCAGTGTTAGGATTTTGAATTTGATCCGTTGCGCAATCGGAAGCCAGTGGAGGGATTGGCAGAGGGGGGTGGTAGAAACGGAGCGGTTGGAAAGGTGAATGAGTCTGGCAGCCGTATTCAGGATCAACTGAAGCGGGGATAGCCAGCGGCGAGGCAGGCCAGTGAGGAGGGAGTTGCAGTAGTCGAGTCGTGATATGATGAGGGAGTGGATGAGCTGTTTAGTGGTTTCTGGGGTTAGGAACGTGCGGATTTTGGCGATGTTGCGGAGGTGGAGTCTACATGAGTTTGTTAAAGATTGGACTTGGGGCTGGAAGGATAGGTTGGAGTCCAGAATGACACCAAGTACTCTGGCCTGCGGGGCGGGTTTGATGGTGGCGTTGTTGGATGTGATGGAGAAGTCAATGGGGGGTGGTGTCCGGTCTGGGGGGAAGACAAGAAACTCGGTTTTGGAGAGGTTCAGTTTAAGGAAGTGTTCTTCCCGGACCCTGCATTCACTTCCCCCAGACCCTGCATTCACTATATCTGGTATCTGATATCCCCCCAGACCCTGCATTCACTATATCTGGTCTCCCCGGACCCTGCATTCACTATATCTGGTCTCCCCGGACCCTGCATTCACTATATCCGGTCTCCCCGGACCCTGCATTCACTATATCTGGTCTCCCCTCCCCGGACCCTGCATTCACTATATCTGGTCTCCCCTGGACCCTGCATTCACTATATCTGGTCTCCCCCGGACCCTGCATTCACTATATCTGGTCTCCCCGGACCCTGCATTCACTATATCTGGTCTCCCCGGACCCCGCAGTCACTGTATCTGGTCTCTCCGGACCCTACATTCACTATATCTGTTCTCCCCGGACCCTGCATTCACTATATCTGGTCTCCCCGGACCCTGCATTCACTATATTTGGTCTCCCACAGTACACAGAACATAGAAATGCAATTATTTTAGTAAATATAAACTGCTAAATACCTTTTCTCATCAGCAGTTAGAGCAGTCTTGTGACTTCTATTAGTGTCCAGCTGAGCACTGGTTAAAGCTTGTAGGAGGAGTTTTCATTCTGCTCTGACTGTCTCTTGAGGCTGCATAACCCCTGACACTCTGTCTGGACAATGCTGATTGGCCCTGTGCTGATAACATGCATCCTCACAAAAGAAAAAAAAAAAAACACTCTAGCATTACACTCTAAACTGAGCATGTGCAGAGTACCTCCTAGGGCTCTGTACTATCAGTAGATGGATTGGGGACAGTAGATGAAGGGGAGGATCAGAGAAGACAGGATCAAACAGCCTTTTTACACAATGCAGATGATTAACCCCTTAGGTTCCACAGTGAGTATAACAAGCATGCTTTACTACATCTACAAACTGATTTTCTTGTTGTGGGTGTAGTAACACTTTGAAGATCAGGAAAGTGGCAGCTAAGGGTATTATATATGACAGGTATATGAATGTTATGAGTATGAGTTTAGATGGGTGAATGTCATTGTGTTAGGTGACTAGGAGGTCTATTTGATTTAGGTCTGAACATTTTGTGTATATACGTACCAATTAGCCATAACATTAGGACCAATGACAGGTAAAGTAAATATTTCCCATCACCTGGTGCGCTTCTTACCTAAATGACCATACAGTGAAGGAAATAAGTATTTGACCCCCTGCTAATTTTGAATGTTTCCCCACTCACAAAGAAATGATCGGTCTAAAATTGAATGTTCGGTGTATTGTAACACTGAGAGACAGAATAGCAACAAAAAAATTCAAAAGAAATGCATGTCTAACAAATGATGTACTGATTTGCATGTTCATGAGGGAAATAAGTATTTGATCCCCTTCACAAAACATGACTTAGTACTTGGTGGCAAATCCCTTGTTGGCAATCACAGAGGTCAGATGTTTCCTGTAGTTGGCCACCAGGTTTGCACACATCTCAGGAGGGATTTTGGCCCACTCCTCTTGGCTGATCCTCTTCAAGTCTTTAAGGTTTGGTGGCTGACGTTTGGCAACTCGAACTTTCAGCTCTCTCCACAGATTTTCAATCGGATTAAGATCTGGAGACTGGCTAGGCCACTCCAGGACCTTTAATGTGCTTCTTCTTGAGCCACTCCTTTGTTGCCTTGGCCGTGTGTTTTGGGTCATTGTCATGCTGGAACACCCATCCACGACCCATTTTCAATGCCCTGGCTGAGGGAAGAAGGTTCTCACCCAAGATTTGACTGTACATTGCCCCGTCCATCGTCCCTTGTGAAGCGGTGCAGTTGTCCTGTCCCCTTAGCAGAAAAACACCCCCAAAGCAGAATGTTTCCACCACCATATTTGGCAGTTGGGATGGTGTTCTTGGGGTCATAGGCAGCATTCCTCCTCCTCCAAACACGGCAAGTTGAGTTGATGCCAAAGAGCTCGATTGTGGTCTCATCTGACCACAACACTTTCAAGCAGTCCTCCTCTGCATCATCATTCAGATGTTCAGTGGCAAACTTCAGATGGGCCTGGACATGTGCTTTCTTGAGCAGAGGGACCTTGCGGGCACTGCAGGATTTCGGTCCTTGTCGGTGTAGTGTGTTACCAATTGTTTTCTTGGTGACTGTGGTCTCAGCTGCCTGGAGATCATTGACAAGATCCTCACGTGTAGTTCTGGGATGATTCCTCACTGTTCTCATGATCATTGACACTCCATGAGGTGAGATCTTGCATGGTGCACCAGACCTAGGGAGACTGACAGTTGTTTTTTGTGTTTCTTCCATTTGTGAATGATTACACCAACTGTTGTCACCTTCTCACCAAGCTGCTTGGTGATAGTTTGGTAGCCCAGTCCAGCCTTGTGTAGGTCTTGTCATTAATCCAACAGTGAGCCCTGGTTCACACTGATGCGGTGCGGAATTCGCAGTGTTTTCAGTTTGCACCACATCAGAATCGCACCCCGTTCATGCGAACCGCTGCGGGTGTGTATGTTAAGTTAACAACACCTCAAAATCGGACTGCAAAACGCGGTGCGATGTGCACAGGGGCGGACTGACAACTCATGGGGCCCCCGGGCAATAAGGGATCATGGGGCCCCTGTGTCCTAGCCAAAACTCAAAAAAGCCTAACTCAAAAAAGCCTATGAAAAAATGGTCAGTACCAGGGGCATCTGATGGAGTGGGGCCCCCTACTGACCCCTCTTGGGCCCTCGGGCAGTGCCTCTTAGTGAGTTTCCAAATGGTCATACTGTTTCCGCCCTTGGGGTGATGTGCAGAATCGGATCGCATAGGTGTGAATACCCATGCGATCTGATTCTAGTGCGTACCCAAAAAATGGTCCTGCACCTTTTTGGTGCAGGTGCGGTGTGATTAGAGCCATACAAAATGTAATGCATTTGTGTGCGGTGCGGTTCCTGTGCGAATCACATGCGATGTACCGCACCACATGTATGTGAACCCGGGCTAAAAGAGATCTTGGAAATAATTGACTGTGATTCCTCTACCCCCTGAGCACCTTATTTCTGCAATCAGTTTGTTGGACTGCACTAACAAATAATGCAGTATTTTAGTTTTTAAAATGTAGGCACTTGATCAGGGGCGGACTGACAACTCATGGGGCCCCCGGGCAATAGGGGATCATGGGGCCCCTGCGTCCTTGCCCAAACTCAAAAAAGCCTATGAAAAAGGTACCAGGGGCATCTCATGGGGCAGCCTACTGACCCTGGGCCCTCAGGCAGTGCGGTTTCCAAATGGTCAATTCGCCCCTGCACTTGATTGTTGCATGATTTTTTATGTTTTATTATTTATGGTCATTAACCCCTTCATGCCTAAGGGTAAAACAAATCTTATTGCCTAAGTAAAATGTTACAACTTAGACATGTGTTAGTAAAACCGTACATATCATCACAATTACTTTGTACATCCACGTGGATTATACCTTGTGTTTTTTTCAGGACAAATTGGGCTTTCATTTGGTGGTAAATGGTAATGGATATTTCCTAATTTTTTTTTAATTATCAAAGGAAAACTGGCCTAAAATAGTAAAAAAAAATATATATTTTTTTAATTTAGCTGTGCGTTTCTTGTTATTACTATAAACCTACACTAACAAACAACCCAAAATACATTCTGCAGCTCCTGACGATCGCAGTGATACCACGTGTGTGTATGTTAGATGTTGTTTGTTTGTATCCATAGAACAGGGCCCCTGTGTATCCTTGTCCAGAAAAAAGTACAATAGTGCACATTTTTCCAAATTCTTTGTTTTCTACCTAAAAAAACTGACACTAACAGACACTGATACTAATTTAAAAAAAATGAAAACAAAAAATCCTGACTTTTGACCCTGACCCTGACCACCCAAACACTAACCCTGGCACTGACCTAGATCAAATCTTGATCTAGGTTTTTTTTTCTTTATTTTTATTTTTAATTAAAAATTTATATTTATTTATTTTTCTTTTTTTTACACACTGTTGTTTTTTTTTTTCCTGCAAGGAGAGATACAAAGTATCTCTCTCCTCCATTCAGAGAGCAAGAAAAACACGGGGGTGGACTTCACAGTGGGCTTCACAGTGACTGATCACTGTAATAGCCATTCAGAGGCTATCACAGCGATCAAGTGACCCAGAATCGGGTTCTGGGTCTTGACCATTAGTACGGTACCTAGGGCATTTGGTGACACCCCGGTCTTTGTGCTGGGAGCGTGCCATGTGGCGCGCTCCCAGCACAAAGACAAATACGCCAATAATCGTCCCCCGCGGAAAAAAAGCCCAGTTCTGTGAGGCTGTATGTTTGTGTGACATCGCGATTAAGGTGAGGAGCGCACCAGGAGAAGGGAAATATTTTTCTAAGTTTAGTATTCAAACTTTTTTGGTTGTAGCACTCACATAGTCCTACAGTTTTTCACTAAGCGCAAATACTTTTTACACGTATAGATAAAGTGAATAACATTGATTAGCTTGTTACAATGGCACCGAACGTGGGTGGGATATACTAGGCAGCAAGTGAACATGTTGTTCCTGAAGTTGATGTGTCCAAACCAGAACAAAATGGTCAATCATAAGGATCTGAGCAACTTTGACAAGGGCTAAATTGTAATGGCTAGAAAACTGGGTCAGAACGACTCCAAAACTACAGCTCTTGCGGGATGTTTCCTGGTCTGCAGTCAGGGCCAACCAAAAGTGGTCTATGGAAAGAGAACTGGCAAATCGACAACAGGGCCATGGGTGGCCCAGGCTCACTGCTGCTTGTGGGGAGGCTGGTCCATGGGCTCCAATCCAGTAGAAGAGCTACTGTAGCTCAAATTACTGAAAGGGTTAGTGCTGGTTCTGATAGAAAGCTGTCAGCACACACAGTGTATCACAGTTTGTTGTATATGGCACTGTGTAGCCACAGACTGGTCAAGGTGCCCATGCTGACCCATGTCCACAGCCCAAAGCACCTACAATAGGTATATGAGCAACTGGACCAATAGAGCATGTAGAAAAAAATGACATTTCTGAACAGTTTGAGGAATACAACTAGTTGAAGGTGTTGACTTGGCCTCCAAATTCTCCAAATCTCAATCCATTTAAGCATCTGTGGGATGAACAACCTTTTAAAGGCATATTGTGTAGTATTGCATATTCATTATAGGTATGTTTTGAAAGAATATAAATTTATTAACCCCCTCCGGCAGCCCTTTAAATGGGCTTTAATGCCCATTAGGTGGTGTGGCTTCTGTATCATGTGACCACTGTGATAGGCTTTCATAGTGGTCACATGATAGAAACTCATCTTGCTGGCTCCCAATGAGAAGCCTTGACCGTGCCGCTTTGTTATGTACTGGAAGTGCGCTATGAGTATGCTCTCAGCAAACAACCTTATGCTACCATTGATGCATACATGCACCAGCTGGGTGATAAAGTTCAGCGTTCTTGCTCCCCAGAGTTGGCAAGAGGTTAGGGTGGAAAAATGTTATGTTAAAAAACCGTGGATAAACCTCACCAGTGACAACACAGACTGCATCAAATACCTGACAGATATCCTGACCCCTCACCCCTCTAGCCAAACCTAGGAAAAACATTGTGGCTGGAGTTTCACTTAGCCTTAGCCAATTAGCCTTTTTAAAATATTTAATGGTTAAGAGTATCAAATACATCCAACACATTTCGAGGCAACCCCCCCCCCCCCTTTCTTCAGGGCTTGAGCAGTTGATGTTAATTAAATCACAACATGATGCACTAGGAGACCTGTGCTACGGCTTGATGAAGACCAGCTTGGGATCCTCTCCATTTGTTTTGGTGACCTTTGTCACCAAGGAAAACCCAAAATGTTACAGTAATCATTGGAACAGATATAAAGTAGAAATCTTTCACTAGGGGAGAAATCCTTCGCTAGGGTAACCTGTTCTGGTGACAACTGACTCTCATTTTGGAGAGATTTTTGTTGAAGACCAGCTTGGGACCCTCTCCATTTGTCTTGGTGACCTTTGTCACCAAGGAAAACCCAAAATGTTACAGTATACATTGGAACAGGTATAAAGGAGAACTCTTTTGCTAGGGTAACCTGTTTCTGGTGACAACTGACTCTCATTTTGGAGAATTTTTGTTGAAGACCAGCTTGGGACCCTCTCCATTTGTCTTGGTGACCTTTGTCACCAAGGAAAACCCAAAATGTTACAGTATTCATTGGAACAGGTATAAAAGGAGAAATCTTTCGCTAGGGTAACCTGTTCTGGTGACAACTGACTCTCATTTTGGAGAGATTTTTGTTGAAGACCAGCTTGGGACCCTCTCCATTTGTCTTGGTGACCTTTGTCACCAAGGAAAACCCAAAATGTTTATAAAGGAGTATTCGTTGGAACAGGTTTTTGTTGAAGACCAGCTTGGGACCCTCTACATAAAGGAGAAATCTTTCGCTAGGGTAACCTGTTCTGGTGACAATTGACTCTCATTTTGGAGAGATTTTTATTGTGTCTCTGGAACAGGAAGTGAAGGAAAATATTTAAAAAATCTAGACATGGGTTTTAAACCTTCCCTACTGTATGAACCTATTTACTCACCATTCTCTTCCTCGCTGCTGATCCCGGTGTGGCTTCCACTGTGGCTGCCTTTCTTGGCCCCAACACAAGGAGAAAGGAGAGAAGGACCAATTGTTTTCCCATTGGTACCTCACAATATTAATCTCCACTATCAGAATTGTGCCGACTCCATGGTGTGTTGTTATATATAGGAACAGAGCTGTTTATCTACACCAGGGAACATTTACTGAGGGTGGGTTCAGGGCCGTATTGCTACTACACCCATTCCGCTCTGACAGCAGGTCCCTTTATTCCACATCATAAATGGGAACATAATTGATTTTACAGTCATTATTTGCTGCTAGACAGAGATGTGTGTTTAGCGGGAGATGTGGAGATGGCATAGCAACTATCTATATATAAAAGATGAACCCCATAAAACTAGACAGGCAGCTAGCATCATCAGAATGAGGTGATCAAGGGCAGCTGCATTTAGGGTTCCGCAACAAAAAACTTTGTTTGCAAGTTTGGATTTACATGAACCATACTGTACATACACTCACCAGCCACTGTATTTGGGACACCTGTTCAATTACTTGGTAACACAAATTGCTAATCATCCAATCACATGGCAGCAACTCAATGCATTTAAGCATCCAGACGTGGTGAAGACGACTTGCTGAAGTTCAAACTGAGCATCAGAATGGGGAAAGAAAGGGGATTTAAGTGACTTTGAATGCAGCATGGATGTTGGTGCAAGATGGGCTGGTTTGAATACTTAAAAAACTGCTGATCTCCTGGGATTTTCACACACAACCATCGCTAGGGTTTACAGAGAATGGTCCGTAAAAGAGAAAATACCCAGTGAGCAGCAGTTGAGTAGACAAAAATGCCTTGTTGGTGTCAGAGGTCAGAGGAGAATGGACAGACTGGTTTGAGATGATAGAAAGGCAACAGTAACTCATGTCTATATGCACCAAAATCTCTGAGGAATGTTTCTAACACCTTGTTGAATCTATGCCATGAAGAATTAGGGCAGTTCTGAAGGCAAAAGGGGGTCCAACCTGGGACTAGCAAAGTGTACCTAATAGAGTGGCCACTGAGAGTAGAAGCTGTCCATACAGCTTTATATATGTGAGCTGACTGATGCTCAGGATTCTCTCTCTTGCTGTTGTGGGAACCTGCTGCTGGGTGAAAAGGCTGGCTGCGTAAAGAACACTAAAAAGGTACGTTGTACATGTGCTGCCGGTTTGTTTAACCCCTTGCCTACCGGGCACTTATACCCCCTTCCTGCCCAGGCCAATTTTCAGCCTTCAGCGCTGTCTCATTTTGAATGACAATTACGCGGTCATGCAACACTGTACCCATATGAAATTTTTAGCATTTTTTTGAGACAGAGCTTTCTTTCTGTGGTATTTAATCACCTCTGTTTTTTTTATTTTTTTTGCTAAACAAACCAAAAACAACTGAAAATTTTGAAAAAAAAAAGTTTTTTCTTAGTTTTTGTTATAAAATTTTGTAAATAAGTGATTTTTCTCCTTCACTGATGTGCACTAATGAGGCTGTAGTAATGGGCACTGATAGGCTGCACTGATGGACACTGATAGGTGGCACTGATGGGCACTGATGAGGAGGCATTGGTAGGTGGCACTGATGGGCATTGACAGGCATCACTGATGGGCACTGAAAGGCAGCACTCATATATGGCACTGATAGGCAGCACTGATAGGTGGAACTGATAGGTGGCACGGACTGGCACTGATAGGTGGCACGGATTGGCACTGCTAGGTGGCACTGACTGACACTGTTAGGCTGCACTGATAGGCAGCACTGACAGGCACTGATAGGTGGCACTGATGCACTGATAGGTGGCACTGACTGACACTGATAGGTGGCACTGATTGGCAACACTGATAGGTGGCAATGACTGGCATTGAAAGGTGGCACTGACTGGCACTGATAGGTGACACTGAAAGGCAGCTGCACTGGTAGGCACTGATATGTGGCATTGATGTGGCACTGATGGGCACTGACAGCTGGCATTGATGGACACTGACAGGTGGCACTGATGGGGCTACACTGATCATCAGGACACTGATCATCAGTGCCCCGATGATCAGTGTACATGTCCCCTCTGAGGGATGCCGATTACCGGCTCTCCTCTCCTCACAAGCTGTCACATGCCTTGCTCCCATCATTTCCTTATATGGCGGGTGGGAGGCAGTTAAGGGAACCATTAAGGGGCGCTCTGTTAGTCAAGAGTCGGTATTCTGTCACTCTATAGAGTTTCAGGTTAAAGTGATGTTAAACCCAAAAGCAAACTTTTTTTATATTGCATTAGATATGACGGCTGCATTAGTTTTCTTTTTTAAGGCTTTCTTTCTTCTATTTTCATAGAAGAAAGCCTATTTTCAGCCAGCAAGTCTGTTGTTTTTCAAAGCAGAATGTATCAGTGACAGAGATGAGAGAAACTAATACTAGCAGGGGTACCTACAATGATCAGCTTTCATTTATGTAGACCATTTATCCTAAAAGGAAAAAAAATTGTTTGCTGTAACTGCTTATAAAGTATTAGCTGGAGTTTGACTTCAGTTAGTACATCTAAAACTCCCCTCCTCAAGACTGACAATTCTGCTGTCTAAAGGTGTCACCTGTGCTCATTCATCCAGTGGGGGCGCTCTAATACAGCAGGTATTTTACTGGCCAAGTGAAAACAGAGGGGAAAACGGCTAAGAAAAGAAAACTAATGCAGCCACAACATCTAATGATTGATAAGCCCCAATAGATTACATTTTTGTTTTTGGGTTCAATAGTGCTTTAAGCTTGATTTGGCATAGAAGGAGTCCATTACAAGGTGAAGGCCTGATTGGAAGCTTGGTGTTGGACCACAAAAGTCTGGTCAGAGTTCCTCCCTTACCCAGGACAGTAGAATTGCAAGAGGCAACAGACGTTTACACTATGGGTGTGTCAATGTTCAGGCCTGTCCTGTCTATAGACAGGCGTGTTGTCCAGACTGTCCTCTGATGTGGAGTAAGTGTAGATGGGGAACACAGCTCTCATTGTTTGAACACTGTTTGTGTGCAGTAAATTATGGTGTGGAGTAAATTGATGTTTTGACTGACATTCTGCGGTTTAGCCACAAGATGTCACTGCTTTTCTAACACAGGCTCAGACTGCATAGATATTTGTATACTCATGAAGAGGTGGGGTTTTCACACAGAGTTGGGTTTTTAGTGAACAGGAAGAGGAGACTGCAGCCATGTTTTGGACAATGCTGAATGCAGGAGCCATGTTCTGGACGATGCTGAATTCAGGGGCCGTGTGAGCTGAGAATCCGATGACATCCAAGTGTGAAAGCGTCCCTCACTAACCAGAGATTGCTGCCAGGAAGGCTGATGAGAGCAGAGGAACTAAACAACATTTGTTCTGCTCAGAGTTACCAGCGGATGCAAAGCAGACCCGGGTCGGTAAGATCGTGCACGCACCTCATTTCAGTGTTGGCGCCCAGAGACTGAGCCCAGGCCGATAGTTAGTTAGGGTCTCTGTGTCAGGCCGCAAGTGTTGTTACTGATTATTGGAAGGACTCCACCACTTAAAGTGACATTTCACATTGGAGAGCTGATAAAATCCTACAAACTCAAGCCAGACTGGCGTTTTGCTCAGAAGGAATACTCAGGCACGTGCTACAGGACCAGTTATGGGAGAGGGAATACTGTAGATTTGTGTAAGATTGTAAGCTGTTGTGCTGCACCGCAGGCTAGCCCATACCATACACCCATACACTGATTCCTGCTCTTTTAGGGTAATAACAGGTAAGGTGTGGCAGCTTAGTTGTGCCCCCAGTAGGTAAATTACTACACCTTCTACCTTCATCCATCAGGAGGCGCCGTGCTGTGCAGCACAAGGGTCTCAGCCTTTGGGCTGGGTGTATGTAAATTTATTGTATGTTCCCAACATTTGTGGTTGTGTTTATTTGCCACATCTAAGTAAAATTCTGTTGTGGCAAAAGCTGGTGTTGGGGTTGCTTTCCTCGTTCGTGACTTCATTGTATCCTGGGGAGCCCACCCCAGTACACGGCTTACATAAGTACGATACAGCCTTCCTGAGAGAGATGCGCTAAAAGAGGACAATGTCTTGCAGAGCCTGAACAGCCCAAGCTAGGCAACTCCATAGCCAGTGGTGCAGACTAAAGGTCAATGAGGACCAAAAAGTAGCAAAGAGGCTTAAAGTTTGATGCTGAGTTCCTGCATGAGAAACTTGAGATAAAGGAACTTTCTTTCAATGAAAGTCAAATTGTCAAGTCCTTGAAGCTCCACCCTTGACACTACACCTTTACAATAGCATTTTTCAACCTTTTTACCCAAGAGGAATTCTTAAAATAATTCTCAGGTTTTTGGGGAACCCTTACCAATTCAGTGCCCCTTACACTGGTGACCTAGATGGAAGAAAGCCCCCTTACAATCATGATCAGACTGCAACCCTTACAGACAGCTATAAAGATGAATGGTGTAATGTTGTTGGATCTACCAAGTGATGATTGACCTGGAAATATGCAAGAACTATCAGGTGAAAGGTCAACGACAGCTTTTAGCAACTTCTGGAGGAACCCTATGATTCCAAAGAACCCTGATTGAGAATGGCTGCTTTACAATATATGTATATATATATATATAATTGATATATATTTAGAAGGCAACTCCACCTTCATTAACCTGGTGACACCAACAGTACGCAAATATGAAGCCTCTTGGTGACTGGGCCTTGACTCCGATTGGCCGCATATCTGCATACCAAAAGTAAACAGTGCCCTTTGCACATTTACCGGCACTTCACGGAAAGATCCCAATCACTACTTGCGATCGGAACCATTTCGATCATGTGACTGCTGTGACAGTCAATCACAGCGGTCACAAGACCCTAATCCCCGCTCCACCTCCCGGAGTCAAACCCCTAAAAGGGCCGGGAGGCATTGGCATAATGGAAGGAAAGGTCAGTAATGGTCAGACAGTCAATCACAGCCAGAGAGCCAATGAGGAGGGAGCGGGGCCAAGTCACGGTTCTATGTGTCTTATACACGCATAGAGCAGCAGCTCCGGGATGAGCACACAGTGGTGCCCCCAGGGAGCACTGATCGAGGGCGAGGTGCCAGGAGCCCCGGCTGGGACCCGAAAAGAAGAAGAGGAGCGGGGCTGTTCTGTTGGAAACCACTGCACAGAGCAGGTAAATTTAGACCTGTTTGTTATTTTAGAAAAAAAAAAAACCAAAGCTGTAGTGTCACTTTAAATATTTTATTTGCTAATGTTTGTAATTTATCATTTGTAATATATTTTCTGTATTGATTTGTTGCACCTTTTTTTTCCTTTTGATTATGATAATAGAAATTAGTTAAGCTGAATCTTTGAATGCTTTAATTTGAAATGAAGAACTTTGCCTTAGTGAAAAAGTTGATGTAATGTAATCTCTGTTACATTCTTTTCTGGCTGTGGCAGGGAGTGATACAGGCATTTTTTTTTTTTTTACGGTCCAAAAACAGCTGAGATACTTCAGTTAAAAGATTATCTGCTCAATTAACCTGCCTCAATGGCAGTCACTCTGGTTTCTATGCAGAAGTGAGTCTGATTTTGCACTCTCCAACTTAAAAAAAATCTCCCCCAATCAGCTTCCAGGTTTTATTGCAAAAGCTTAATTGAACAAGCTGAGGTTAGAAGCTGATTGATTTCTATGCAAAATCGAGTCTGACTTTTCACTCTCCAGTTTTAGTAAATAAAACCTTCTTTGTCTTCCCTTGAGTTATAATTTAGCCACTTCTTCACAGAATACATGTCAATCAATTGTAAATGACTGTAAATGTTATACAACATAAATAGTACTAATAGGCTTTATAATATGTTTTTATTTTCTATGAGTAATATGGAAATACAGTTTCTTTTTTCTATCAAACAAAAATTAAATCCAGTGCTGTAAATTTAGATGCCGATCCCCCGAAATGTCATAATGGTGATCACCTGTAAAAATAAAAATAAATAAATAAATATGGAAAAAAGATTGTATTATGTAATCGTTATGTATAAAGGTGTGTGTGTGTGTTAAGACCTAAAATTAAAAAGCATTTTGCTGCATATTCCTGTCCTTTACAGTGGAGATAATATAGTGGTTTCTTTATGCATGAAAGCCTATAACCCACACCGAATACCTAGTGATCCTGACAGTTTCCTTCCCAATGCATTGTTTCCTGTCATGCCAGACCACCAGGAAATTGTGATGTTGGTAGATGCCAATGTCTCTAAGAATCACCACCCCTACTCCTCAGAGCAAGGGAGGAAATGTGGATATAGTTATCATCTAACCACCATTAAAAAGGCGCCAAAAAGGTATTTAACCAATTCAGCTTTTACACCTGTACGCTCCCTATGGACCTCCCTATGGACCCGAGCAGTTTTTACATTTCCACTATGGGTCTGTTAGTTTGGCAATAACTTTTTGGTTACTTAAAGTGTTACTAAACCCCGGACCCTGCATTCACTATATCTGGTCTCCCCGGACCCTGCATTCACTATATCCGGTCTCCCAGGACCCTGCATTTACTATATCTGGTCTCCCCGGACACTGCATTCACTATATCCGGTCTCCCACAGTACACGGAAAATGGAAATGCAAATATTTTAATAAATATAAACTGCTAAATACCTTTTCTCATCAGCAGATAGAGCAGTCTTGTGACTTCTATCAGTGTCTAGCAGAGCACTGGTTAAAACTTATAGGAGGAGTTTTATTTCTGCTCTAGGAGGATGCATAACCGCTGACCTCTGTCTGGACAGTGCCGATTGGCCCTGTGCTGACCACATGCACTCTCCCAAGAAAAAAAAAAACTGTCTAGCAATACACACCAAACTGCACATGTGCAGAGTGACTCCACACACTATGTCTTATCAGGAAATAAGAGGGGGGCACTGTAAGAAGGGGAGGATCACAGAAGTCAGGATCAAACAGCATTTTTACACAATGCAAAGGATTAACCCCTTAGGTTAACAGTGTGGAACATTAAAGTGTTACTAAACCCACAACACTAGAATCAGTCTGTATATGCAGTAAAGCATGCTTGTTATACTCACTGTGGAACTGAAGGGGGTTAATCCTTCACATTGTGTACAAATACTGTTTGATCCTGTCTTCTCTGATTCCCAATCCATCCATGCTGAGAGTACAGAGCCCTAGGAGATACTCTACACACACTCAGTTTGGTGGTGTGTA